GGGACTCGGGCAGGGAGGAGGCAGCGAGCGGCTCCCCGCGTGTCTTGCAGGGTTTGCTCCCGGAGTGCCGTGTCATGCCCCTATCAGCCGTACCAGGCACTCACACCTTCCTCAGGTGCTCTCTGGCCAGACACATGACATATGTCCCTGGCAACAGAGGTGACAGCTGGGAGAAGGTCTGAGCTATTTTTACTGGGTTGTTGCAAACGTCCAGACGTAAAGCTGTTTGTTTTTCCTATGTTTTGCCATCCCTATAGGTTTATTTGGGAACAGGTCAAATAGCTGCTGGCGCTGTGTAACGCAGAACGTGTGCCTCAGCTGCTGTTGCTGTGGCTGTGCTCTGCCCGCACTGTCAGGTGTCCTCCCAATGCTTGAGCTGTGCGTTGAGACGTGGACACTGGGCTGCTCTGTGGTTCTCTTCATTTTCGGTTTTCAGTTTGCACAAAAACTGCCAGAAAGCTCCAGATGGCTCTCTGGTTTTATGAGAGGAGTAAAAGCACCTGTTGGGGTGCTTATTTTGCCTGAGCATCTAATGAAAACATACTCATTGCTGTCAATGCTGTCGGTTTTCAGCTGGTTGCCACCCTGCCTGAGGAGATGCGTCCTGGGCCTGATTTCCATGGACTTCCATGGGAGCCTGTTATTATCACTGCCTTAGTGGGATTTATCACACTTGCTATATTTTTGTGGAGAACCTGCCTTTCAGTGAGTATACTTCATGCTTGGAAGCCTGCCGATAGTTCCCTTACTGAGTAAGGGTGAAATCATTGTGCAGTCTTTCATGTTTTTACCTTTACTTATCTGTAACAATATTGGTAGGTTTTCTTCCCTGCTTATTTTCGATTCTGAGTACAGTGGAGCAGTTTCAGATGCAAAACAGTGTTAATAGAACAGCCTAAAAGGCTTCTGAATTCCTTCTTTCTTGGTGTTAACTTCAAAACAAGCAACTGTCATGTAAATGTACATTGCCTTGAAAGGATCAGAACTAGAATGCAGGTGTGTTTTATTTTTGCAAGTTCATGTCTCTGTTTTGATGCAAAAATGGCTTCATTTTCTTAGCAAATTGGATGTGGGCAGTTACCACTGTTCTTTTAGTGAGTGAGTAAACAGATATTTACTAAGGCTCTGGGACTGGGCTTTAGCCTAGAAGCTTTTATTAGAAACAACTGAAGCTCCTTTGTAGTGTTACTCAACACTCGCTGACAGGGATAGATGTATTTGCCATATGCTGTGTTAATCTTTGTAAAAGTTTCTTGTTTATATAGGGAAAATTAATGTTTCACCACTTTTTTTGGCTAAATTTGTAAACTATTTTGTTCCCTCTTCTGTAGGTAAAGAGTAGAATATATCAAGGTAAGTTTCTCTCTGCTTTTCAGTGTAGTTGATGCTTAGGCCTGTAAAAGTTTTGAAGATTGTTAGATCGTTTTAAGAGGACCAAGTATTTATCTTCTCTCCCAAGAGAATACTAAGCCCAAGGTTATGTGTGGCTTAAGCTAGGCCAGCAGGTGATTCTGACTTGAATCTGAGGGTTTAAATTTTGCTTTTGATATTGCTTTGTTCAGGAGAAACAATGCAGCTCACACCTGCAACATAAAGGGCAAGGAAAAGCTCTGCCTTGTTCAGCATAAATGAACCGTTGGTTTGCCTGTGTGATGGCTGTGGGGCAGAGTTTGTTTTGGTTTTCTGAACACCAGTGGATCTGCTTTTGCTAGTTGTTTCTTACAGAAGACAGGAGCTAGTTCCTCTTGCCTGTTTGGATGGAGGGGAGCCTCAAACTTACTGCTGTGCAGTTACAAAGAGGCCCTTTAAATGTAGATCTAATTATGCAGCTATTCCTGTGGCTAGCACATTGCTTTTTACAAGTGTTTCTCCAGCTTCAGGTTTATAAAATCATAGTGTACTGAATGGGAAAAAATAGAATTCAAAGTAGGGTGATTGCTGAAATCCATAATTGAATACAAAATGGAAATATGAAAGAATTGTCTTCTCAAGATCTCTCTGCCTCTTCTTCCCTCACAAACCATAGTAGTTGCCAGTCATTCCTCTCTGGTTTCACTGTGGTTGTACTGCAGTTTCCTTCTGTATAGTTAATGCAGAATTGATGAGCTGAAAAAAGTCCATCTTAGATCTGTAAGGTGATTTCTCTAGTGCAGAAAAAACATTGGTATTGGTGGTGCAGAAATTACCAGTGTGCCGTAAAAAATTGAGGAACATAGATCTAATTCCATCCTCCCAGATATTGTACTCTGTGGTGCTGTATAGAAACTACTAAATCTAAGAACAGATACATAGTCTTTAAGTGTGATAAAGGTCATGTTATAAAATCCGTGTCCAAAATGAAGGAATATTAACAGTGACAAAAATGCTTTAAGAGGCAGATCACACTTAGAGTCATAAAGATAAAATCTATTGTCCTCTTTTAA